TCCCCTTCGGGCTTTGTCGTCTCGTCCTCGAAAACCAGCTGAGGGGAGAGGGGGATAGTAGAAGACTACTGCTGGGAGGAAGCTAGCTGTATAAGAATAAAATTCTCCGTAGGGAGGGGATTAAGTTGGGGACCAGTGAGGTAAAAGCCGGCACAGTGGAGCAGGATAGGATATCATGATCTTGTGTATTCACAAATCGTTCGAACCAAAATCAGTGCGATGCGCCCGGACTCCATTTTGCCTTATAGTGAACAACAAACTAGGTTATCAGACTAAGTAGAAAACTGCGAACGCAAAGGGTGTGCTTGATAACGGCAACTTTTCAACTGAAAGTTCCGCAATTGCGACTAACTTTGTTAATTTTGCCGACCCGGCTGAGGCCCAACAGGCTTAGATGCGCCAAACAAATCCTACGACGGAGGATTTAAACAGCTGAAACACACTCACACCTAACGTAGGAGTACGAAGAATTAATCTATGGACTTAAATCAGAAGTGGAGGGCGGTGGGCGAGACGGTCTTCAGTGTTTGGCGATGTAACTGCAACTGATGGTTGAGCTGGTGATCGTTGAAAACTGAATGCACTGGTTCATGACATGGACTCAGGGAGCTACTAACCCAGCAAAAGGGCACACACACTAATTCAGTAGGATGTTCTTAAGTTTCCCATGCCCTCGAAAAACTCTAGGGCCTTTAAAATCCGAATTTAGGACACTGCCATATAACGTAGAGTTCTGTATCATGAACTTGGCACACCGACCGCCTAAGTAATGATTTTCTCACGTTTTGGGTTATATAATTTCGCAAACGGAAATAAGGGTATTTAATACGCGGTCTTGAAGTTACCTTAAATCTTTCGAAGGCACCCTTGAGCTCGAACACGGGAAGGTCTTCGTCTTCATCGTCACTAGACTTCTGGCTTGACGTCTTACTGGAAAACTCCAAGCTGCTTAGAGTTTCGTCAGGATTTGTTTGCTTTCTTCTCTGTTTCGCTGCCTTCTTCTTTGACCTCTTTTTTCTATTTCTTTCCTGCTGTCGAGTAAGGAAGCGCTGACCAGATTCACCCAGACCGTCGCCATCAGCAGGTTCTGGATTTTCCAGAATGGCCATTCTGACGCAGTCTGCTACGAAAAAGGAAAGCATAAAGACGTATAAAAGATAAAATGTTCACTAAGAGGGATATATTTAAGTCATAATTCCGCGGGTGTAACCTACAAATTGATGCCGTATAATGCTAAAAAAGACACGCGAAACAGAAGTAAGAACCCGTTAAC